CTCCAGCCGCTCGTCAGTTAAAGGACAGGGGAAACGCCTGTCTGACCAGAGATACATTATTTTAGGTGCCGGTTCGGCCGGCATGGGTATCGCGGTGCAGATCCGTGACGCAATGATCACTGCGGACGGTGTCTCTAGAGATGCTGCAAACCTGCGGTTTTGGATGGTAGATCGAGAGGGGCTGTTGTACCACGTGGTGTCGGCGGAGATCGATTTACCCCACCAGAAGGAGTTTTATAGACCCGCCTCAGAAAAGTGGGACGAGATCATCAGGGTTGGAGCGGACGACGCATCGACGTGGGAGGGGGCGACTCCGAAGAAGATAAGGAGGAGGGTTGAGTTATTGGATACGGTGAAGGAAGTAAAACCGACGGTTTTGATTGGGTGTTCGACTGCTTCGGGGGCGTTCACGGAGGAAGTGGTCAAAGCCATGGCGGAGGCGCTGCAGCAGGAAGATCCAGGAACTAAGCCCATCATAATGCCTCTCTCGAATCCGGGCAAGTTAGTAGAGGCGAAGCCAGAGGACGTCCTTCGTTGGACGGGGGGCAGGGCATTAGTGGCGACGGGGAGTCCGTTTGGTAATGTGAATATGGATACCTAGTTAAGCGCCTTGTAGCATCGCGGAATGCAACAACGCACTCATCTAGCCTGGTTTAGGCTTGAGAGGATTTTACATGTCGTGAGGGAAGGATGGGGTAGAAGACAAGAAGTAGTTTGCATGTGTTTCTTCTGACCCCAATATCAGGGAAGTTGGCTGTATGGGAGTCGCCGTCTGGTACCAAGCTATCGGAAAAAAGATGAACAAGGCGAAAATTGAACCATAAGTTCAACTTTTTTGCAATGTCCGATCATAGTTTCGCCTCCCCGCAGGGAGCTTGTTTCAATAAAAAATGTCTGGCCATTGCAATTTTCATGCAACGGCCAGACGTGGTTCGGTGTTCCGTATTTTACTGACTACCGACGTGAACATGTACTATTTACTCCATGACAAAAAAAGGAAAGGCCTAGACAAAGACAATCGAAGGTCAGTTTGGACAGATAGCATAAAGTCACGTCT